AGAACAAACCCTCCTGCCGGAAAATGCTTCTCTCCAATCCTGTCTTGCTGAGCCAGAGACACCAGTCAGCTCCAGCACAGACCAAGAAGTTGGGCCAAGCTCCACTGCAGTTCACAGAAACTAAGATTCACTCAGCCCACGGGCTTCTCAATTAACAGGGACTTTCCCAGCATCCAGTATTTAGTCTTTCTGGGAGCCTAAACCCCAAATAAATCTGTTTTACTATGTATAAAGCTTATACCGGGTAAACTCATAAATTGTCCGCCCTCTAGAACGCTGATAGATATGCAAAGCTGTTTGCTCCCCCAGGTATTAATCCCTTACTCTGGGTTAATAATAAACAAAAGTGATTTTATTAAGTATAAAAAGTACGATTTAAGTGGTTTCAAGTAATAGACAGAAATACATCAAAATATGCAAGGCTAACTTAATACACTAAGGATCTAGTTACAAATAATAATTTCTCATCCTAGATGTTATCTCAGGTACAAACCTTTTCAGACCAATGCTGTAGTTTATGGCCTAGGTTCAGCAATCACTCACACCCCTGTAGTTACAGTCCTTTGTTCCAGTTTGTTTCAGGCATCTCTTTGGAGTAGAGAAGCCATCTCTTGAGCCAGCTGAAGACAAAATGGAGAGGCTTCCAGGGCCTTTTATAGTCTCTCTTGTAGGCGGCAACCTCTTTGTTCTTCTATGCAAAATCACAGCAACAAGATGAAGTTTGTGGCCACCTGGGCAAGTCCCATGTTCATGAATGATTCAGCTTTTTGCATGCCAATGCCATTGTTTACATGTTCGTTTGAATGTTCCTAGGAAAGCTCAGATGTGGATTGGCATCTCCCAAAGACCATTGTTAGTTAAGTAGTCCAACTTACTTGAATAGCCCCTTCACAATATATTGGCCAAACCTCCCTTATGTGTTTCCTACAGCAAACACTTCAAATACTAGCATAGAGCCAATGCTCGTAACTTCAGATATAAAAAAGAGACATACATACAAACAGGATGAATATATTCACTAGGTTATAAGCGTAGTAATACCCTATAAGAGACCTTTTGCATAAAGCATATTCCAGTTATATTATATTTATACTCATAAGCATATTTCCATAAACATATGGAGTGCAACATCACAGAGTGATGCTGATGTAATACATGAAAGAAATAGAAACCCAAATCAACACTGATAAAATTGGCAAATGGCACAAAACTTGGGGGGGGCAGTAAATAATGAAGAGGAATAATCACTGATACACAGTCTTCTGGATCATTTGGTAAACTGGATGCAAGCAAACTGTGTTTTTCAGGATAGCCAAATGTAAGATCATACATCTAGGAACAAAGAATGTAAACCATACTTACAGGAAGGGGAATTGTATCCTGGGAAACAGTGACTCTAAACATGAAGATAATTAACGATTGGATTACCAAGGGTCATGATGGATTCTCCATTATTGGAAATCTTTAAATCAAGATTGTATCTTTTTTCTAAAAGATATGCTGTAGTTCAACCACAACTGTTGGACTTGACGTAGGAATTAATTCTGGGAAGTCCTGTGCCCAATGTTATGCAAGAGGGTCAGACTAGATGATTACAATGGTCATTTCTGGTTTTATAATCTGTTTACACTTACATTTTTACCAAAGGCCCAATCCCACTCCCATTTAAGTCACGGGGGCCCAGATCTTCAAAGGTATTTAGGTGGCTAACTCAGTGGGAGTTAAGTGCCTAAACACCTTTGAAGGATGTGGATCTGGGAATTTTATAGTTAATTTCAAAGGAGCAGGAGCAGGCCTCAAGTCCCTAAGGAACCGATACTGAATTCATAGTCTTTCTTCAATTAAAATAATGCTTAAAATTAAATCAAATGCTCCAATGAACAAGGCTTTCCTGACAGATTGCCCTGTGAGAAAATGGAGTAGCAGTAAAAGGATTATATCCTAAGATAAGCACACATTTACTTGGCATAAACAAAGTCAAACTGAAAAACTGCTGAATCATTTGGTCCAAAATTAGGTCAAATCCTTTTTGTTAAGAAAGCAAACTTCCTTCCTGAGAAACATAACTCAAGGGCTGTGTTCCATGGTATTTTTGACTGACGTTCAGGTCATATTGGAACCGATGCATGGTGCAACATCCATCCAGCTTGACACAGGTTACAAAGTGCTATCCTAAGTGTTAACTTTTCTGAGCACATAAGAGAGTTGTCAGTTGGTGAAGTCTCACAAAACTCTCTTCACTAAGGCAGAGAATTATTTGTGAAGTTTGAATTGACAGAATAATAAAACGTATGCAGTGGTGGTGGTGTTGGTTTTGGTCCAAGGACAGTAGAGACACAAGGTGGATGAGGTAATATCTTCCATTGGACCAACAGAAGACGGTCCAAAATAAGATATTATCTCACCCACCTTGTCTATTAGAATAATAAAACAGAACTTTGGCCTACAAAGCATGCTGTCCACACTGATAGGTCTCAGATTCACTTCTCACTTCTGAAAAATAAATATTTTTGGTTTCCAAATATCCCCAATAATAAAAAAGCCCAAACAAACCCCATATGACTTTTTTTTTAAAGTGAAACAATATTAAAATTCTAATCTTCAAACTGAGGGTCCCCTGAATATAATAAACCTGGGGGACAGTGGGTTGCTTGCATTGCTGAGCATCTTGTGTTGTCTCTCTACTCTCCCTGCTGCCTCCATTCCAGTGAGCAGCAGGAGATTCAAATTTTGAGCAATTTCAGTCCCTAGCCCATTCACAAAATGAATGGGACTAGTTTTACTTGATTAGGGACCATAGAATTTGCCATGAAGCCAGCAAGCAGGGTAGGAGGAGGCTGTGAGATTCCTCTTTTCTTTTCTCATCTTTTTAAAAGATTTCATACCATCTATCACGCCAAGAATGTAAGACCTGTCCCTACAGCCCTTACTCACTAGAGTAGTTCCTTGAATAATCATTGAATTCAAGTGAGTCTGCTCTTTGGGAAGAATGGGCTTCTACTGGATTACTCAGATGAGTAAGGGATGAGGAACCAGACTCTTATTTCATAAATTAGTCTCTAGAATGGTGGGCACAATGCCTTGGTATTGCTGACATTATAGGTCAGGTAAAAATAAAGGACTTGGGGCCTAGTCCTAAAGTCCTTACTTAGGCAAAACGCCAAATGACTTCAAAAACTGAGTAAGGACTTCAATGAAGTTACATGGATTTACACCAGTTGAAGATCTGGCCCCATATATTTTAAAAAACACTTTTCCTGATTTGTTACTAACAACACCTTATTATAATGCAGATATTTACACAGATGAAGCAAAGATTTTTCCATTTTGATTTAATTTCACATTTTTGTTCTTCCAGTTAATTGTTATGAGTATGAGTTGCAAGCTTTGTGTGGGAATGATCACATCGTTTACTTTAAGGAAAATCCTGTTCCATTTTCTAAAAAAAAAAATAATAATAATTTTTCCCAGTAATTTTCCTTTCAATCAATCTTGGTTTTATGGAAACTAAATTTTGTCCCAACAGTGTTCCCTTGGAGGAGAAGACAGAACAAATAAGGAACAAATGGAAAGAAGAAAGAAAGAAATGCATGAACTCCAGCACTATGCCAGGAAGCCTTAAAAAAAGTTGTGTAGTGAGACAGACTGCAGTGAAATTTATAAACATACTGACTTCAACATGTGAATTGCATCAGGTAAAAAGAGACACTGAACTAGAATATGGAAACTTACAAAAAAACACCTAAAGTTTGTTGGGAATGTAGTCACTGCATTTCAACCTGTCCCTTCTCTTTCAGGCCTGTTTGTTTAGCCACCAGGTGTCACAACTGCTGATTCTATGACTTAGATGGAAAAACCTACAAGCAGGCAGGAAAGCAGATGGAGGTGCTTAGAATTTCTTCCTCAGGGGCTTATTCAGGTCTTTCAAACGTTGGACCAATTGATTATAGATTTATTTACTAATTCAGGTATAGGGTGTCTTGCACAGGTCAAATGCATCTTAGACTAAAATGAAGTAGCAAACCTCTAAAAGAAATAAAATCTGTTAAAGAACAGAGCCAAGGAAACTGACAAAGATGGAATAATAGTGACCATCAAGGCAAACCATTTGACAAAAGGTATTTGGTACTAATAGAGGAGACACCGGAAACATGAGAGAGGGCCCCAGATGGTCAGGGAGAGGCTTATTGGAAGAGAAGAGCCGTTTACCATATGCTAAATAGACAGTTAGTGAAGGTGCCTGGTGGACCAGTTCTGGAAGGGAGCTGTGCAGCAGAGGCTAGAGCCCTACACTATGAGAGACTTGCCCGAGTGTGGCCCTGCTCCACTCGAGCCAAACATCAATGTCAGCCAGGGATGCAGTCACAGAGCATCAGAGGGGTAGCCGTGTTAGTCTGGATCTGTAAAAGCGGCAAAGAGTCCTGTGGCACCTTATAGACTAACACATGTATTGGAGCATAAGCTTTTGTGGGTGAATACCCACTTGGTCGGATGCATGTAGTGGAAATTTCCAGAGGCAGGTATAAATATGCAAGCAAGAATCAGGCTAGGGATAACAAGGTTAGTTCGAAGGAGGTTAGAGCAGAGAGGCAGGTAGGGGCTGAATTTCAGAGGTGCTGCTTCTCTGCACCTCCCATTGCCTTCACCATCTTCAACTTCCAGCTGAAGTTATGAATGACCAGCATGTCTGAAAAGTGGCCCCTCTCACCCTAGTTTATGAGGGGCTCCATATACACGGACCCCTGTGCTATACTCTTTGGCGGACAGGCAGCCTTTGCTTTTCTAGCGCTCCTAGCAGCAGGGAGCCCTCACAGGCAGGGCTCAGGAGCACACGGTCTGTCGCGTCCGCCCCCTAGTGGCGCGGGGCATCTTCACCCGCTTCCAGGGGAAGGGGAAATGGCTGCCGCCGTCTCCCCATGTGACTCCTCGGAAGCCGGCGCCGGCGCCTCCCCCTCCCGCCGCGAAATCCAGGTGGGGCGGCCCTAGCCGAGCAGGTTTGAGCCGTTCCCGACCCCGTAGCGTCCTTGCAGAACAGCTGCCGCGCAGTCGGCCGGGTGGTGCCGGTTCGGTCTCTCTATGGAGCGGGGCGCGGCGGTGGCTGTGAGGCGGCTCCGCGCCGCTGGCGGAGAGCGGGAGCCCCGGGCCCCGCAGCACCCGCCGTTGCCGGGGCACGGGGTGGAGGACTCAGGTGGGAAGAAGCGGGACTGCCCCGCCGGCGGCTCCCGGTGGCGGCTGCTTCCTGAGGCCCGGGGGGCGCTGCTGGTGCTGCTCTACCTGCTGGCACTGCGGGCCCTGGTGCAGCTCTCCATGCGGCAGCTGCTGCGCCGGCCGGGGCCGCGGGACTTCAGCGCCCCCCGGGCCAGGTACGGGCAGCGCCTGCGACCACCCCCCCTCCCCCGCCTCCCCACCTCGCCCCCTTCCCCTCAGCGCCTCGCCATTCCCCGGCCAGGTACGGGCAGCGCCTGCGACCCCCATCCTCCCCCCCCAACCAGGTCTCTCGCCTCCCCATCGTGCCCCCTTCCCCTTAGCGCCTCGACATTCCCCGGCCAGGTATGGGCAGCGCCTGCGACCCCCATCCCCCCCCCCCCCCAACCAGGTCTCTCGTCTCCCCATCGTGCCCCCTTCCCCTTAGCGCCTCGACATTCCCCGGGCCAGGTATGGGCAGTGCCTGCGACCCCCCCCCCCCCCCCCACCAGGTCTCTCGTCTCCCCATCGTGCCCCCTTCCCCTTAGCGCCTCGACATTCCCCGGGCCAGGTATGGGCAGTGCCTGCGACCCCCATCCTCCTCCCCCTAGCGCCCCACGCCTCCCCATCCCGCCCCCTTCCCCTCAGTGCCTCGACATTCCCTGGGCCAGGTACAGGCAGCGCATGTGGTCCTCCCAGCGGCCCGACTCTCCCTCCCAGCGGCCTGACCCCCCCCTTCCCTACCAGTGGCCTCCCTGCCCCCCCACATCCTTCCAAAATAACACACACACACACCCCATTCTGCCCCCGGACCTCCCCATCTCACTGCTGGGTCAGGTACTGGACAAGTGGGCCAGCTGTCTAATTGCAGTGTAGAGACACACTAAGAGTCAAACTAGGTGATCTCTATCTGGCACATCATCCCCATCCCCACCATAAAGATTCTGCCCTCACTGACTCCTGTGCGGTCCAAATGCTTTCACTGAGTTTTCAGAGTGTAGCTAATTGGACTTGCAGTAGAACCTCAGAATTACAACACATTAGTAATGGAGGCTGTTCCTAACTCTGTACAAAACATCAGGGTTCTTTTAAAAGTTTACAACTGAACATGGCCTTAATACAGCTTTGAAACTTTACCATGCAGAAGAAAAATGGTGCTTTCCCATCACTGAGCAACATAAATTTTGCTGACATAAGTGGTAGCGTAGATATGGCCATACTCTGGCTATTAGCCCTGGCCCCAATATCTACACTATTGTTACCCATGTTAGCTAAATTAAAGTTAGCATGGGTATGGCTGCCTGTACTAACATCTTCACTTGCAGTGTAGACATACCCTGGGGAGAAAATGAGCTAAGTATTTAAGAGCTATGGTTTCCTTTTGGCATTCTCATGGGTTTTATTTTTGTGATGAATAAATATTGTGTTAATGTTTCGGTTATCAAATTGTGTATTTCTTTTAGTGTTGTATATCTTAAATTTTAATTGTTCTGTGTTTGGGAATGGTGGTTGACAAATTGAAATAAATGTAAAATAAATCTATTATTTGGCTCATTGTAAATCTTACTAAGAATGTGCTTGTTCAGACCTGTGGAGGATGTGGTCGGGATGCGTGATATATATGCATCAAAAAGCAATGAACTTACTTGACAGTCTGCTCTCCCTTCATGCATTTTCTGTGTAGATTTTCACTGCTGACATTCTTATTTTGAAAGATAAAATCAGTGGATTGGCATATTGTCACACAGAAAGGGGGTGTTCAGTGCTGTCAGACTTCTCCCTGGTTCTGATCGGCAACATGGCACTGAGCAAAAGGCTGTGTATCCAGATCTTTGACCTTAATAGCATTAGGAATTTTAGCAGTGGTCAGTTGCAGTACGTGCTAGGTGATTTAAACCTTTTCTGTTTAGCTTATGGAGTGGAAGGGTGTGTGAAAATGTGCAAATTGTGGCCGAGTTGCATATTGAATGCATTTGTTACAAGAGATCTGCATTGTTAATTTTTCAATTTATCTCTTGTAGGGAATATCTTGAAAACATAACGGCAGTTGGTCCCAGGACAGTCGGAAGTCCAGAAAATGAAATTCTCACAGTTAACTACCTCTTAGAACAAATTAAGGCAATTGAAATAGAAAGCAGTGATGCACATAAGATTTCTGTAGATATACAGAGGCCAACGGGCTCCTTCAGCATTGACTTCTTAGGTGGCTTTACCAGTTACTATGCGAACATAACTAATGTTGTGGTTAAGCTGGAGCCCAGAAGTGGAGCTAAGCATGCCGTGCTATCCAATTGCCACTTTGACTCTGTACCAAATACCCCAGGTAGGTGCATGTATTTACCTGTCTTTGTTGAACTTTTGTTGTCTTAAATGACAACTTATATCTTTTTGGCTTCTAAAAGTTTTTCATAATGAAGAGTAAGCAGCTTCTGTTTTGTTACAGCTTTTGATGTTTCTTATGATGCTTTTTACAGCAGTATAGTAATAGGAGCTGCTTGTGGACAAAGTGATGCATGTTACATGAGCAACAGAACTGTTTTTTCATGCAGGGAATTTGTTCTGTTTTGTTCTACACACAATGTCGCTTACATCCACCTATAAGAGGACTAGCCATATCAAAGAGTATCTCATTCTTGCAACAAATTGCACAAAACATTTAAGGTGAAATTGTGACCCTATTGCAGTTAGTGGGGCCAGGATTTCACCTTTGGTCTCTGACATGAAACCATGAGTATTTTCCTGCTTGTGAATTCTGGAAAGCGTATTTACATCTGAATTTCTCGTATTCCTCTGCATACTCCTCTGTATTGTGCATTTTACTTACTTCAGTGTTACTTTCAGCTGATTCAAATTGACCCTTGTTATCCAACTCCAACAGGGTGGTTTGATGTACTAGATTTTTTTATATTTTTAATAAAATCTGCATGTGTACTTTATACAAATGTGTTAGATAGTATGATTGATTTGGTCCTGGTGGCAGCTAAGCTTCAATTGCACGGGCTATAAAATTTCTAAGTGGAGGCTGTTCCCTCCTAAAATCAAATCAAATTTTGTTTGCAGCAGCATGTAATCAAACTCTAGTTACTGTTTTACTACCAAGTCTACTGTGGCTCAGCAGGCAAAATGAATTGTTGCTTGTTTCAGGCAAAAATAGTTTTTGTTTTACTTTGAGAGACCTGACTGCAGACTATAACTTACAAGCTCTATTCACTCTCTTAAAATCAAATCAGAACATCTTGCAGCCTCTGCTGGTGCTAAATTTGCAAGTTTCTTTAACAGTTTCTACACAGCCTACTCTGAGTTGACTGGAAAATTAAATTATTTCATACCTTCAGACAAAGAGATACTACAGTTGAATCAGGATTCCTGTCTATGGAAAAACTGCCACCCATTCTCTTCTCTCACTAGTTACCACAGATCTCTAATCGGAGGACTGAGAGATGATGCTTACAAACTGAGGGTTGGCCTTAAGCCTGCTTAGCATGACCATGGTGGTCAGAGGAAACGCTACAAAGACACATTGAAAGTGTATCTCAAGACAATTGACGTGGACATCATAAGGTGGGAGGAGCAAGCCACCAAGTGACCTCAGTGGCACCACATCCTACATCAGGCAGTAGCTTGCTTTGAGGAGAAGTGCCTTGCCCTTGAACCTGAAAAAAGAGAGAGAAAATGTCTGTGCCTACTGCGAGCAGATCTGTGGTTCCAGGATCGTACTCCTGAGTCCTCTCAGGACTCGTATGTAAATCTGTGGTAGAAATCATCCTCGAATCAAGGGATTACTGATGATGATGCTTTGTAGTGTACTTCTTCCTGGCCCTCTGCTCTCATGTCATTACTCATCTGGCTGTTCCCTGCTAGGCCAATCACCCTTCCCACTTGCTGGCAACTGAGTTCCATTTGCTCTGCTTAGCTCTTTCTCCTTGCCTCTTCACTACATTCTCACTGAGCTTCCTCTTAGATTGGCAGCTCAGTGCTGCTGTTCCTGGTTTCACTCAGCCTATCTAAGGACAACAGAAGAAGCTTATCTGACAGGCAGAAAACCTGGTGCTTTTGTGCATCTGGATGGTGCTCTTACTTGTCAGGGACTTCTGGGAAGTGAGATTATTTTTCCCAGACCTAAGGTGGATGTGACATTACCCAGGCTACAGTCTGGACTGTTGAACAGCTGTGTCCCCTTAGTTCTCTAGACTGAAGTCTATTTACACTGCATTGCTATCAGAACATCCACTCCTGGCCTGCTCACACGGCCTTCAGCATGCAAATTCACTCCTAACTAAATTCTTGAGCACTCTGACCTATCACTCATGAATTACATACAGGGCAACTCCTTCAGATTCCTCGTCCCAGCCTTGTCCCCCCAGAAATGTGTCTTGTATGGCTCAGTACCCTTCTGAACAGTACAAGCTCATAGGAAGTCCGACACTTCATGAAAGGAAAATGATAATGCACGAACCTTGTTATCCCTGATGGAGTTTTCCATACTAATCCAAATATGTTGGTTAGGATAAAACAATAAGATAAGTTTAGACAGATTTTTAAGTGAGTACTGGTGGTGATGCATACATTTCAGGATTCGTTTAAAAAAAAAGTAAAATGCAAGCTAAGTGAACTTTAAAGCAAATGGTTTTGTCTCATCATATGCTGCAGTAAATTTCACAGGCTGGGTTTCCGTTCAGACTGAGATTTCCTCCCTCCCCCCCCTTTAGTTCAGTGTCCTTCAGGTATTCATTAATGTCATGAGCAGAGAAACTGGAGAAGAAGTGAGTTGGAGACTACTGTCTCACATTCTTATGCCTCCCTCCCCTCTATGAGGACTACCCCTGCTGGGGTGCAGGCGACAAGCAGTCTTTTTGTGGATGTGAGGTTTGAACCATTCTTATGATGCAATATACATTTCTTATTCACACCTTCCCTCTGCTGCAGAACGGCCACTTAAGCACGTGATAGTTTTTCAATGCCAGTGTGTCTTTGTCTCTCAAAAAAACTGGTTTGTGGGCTCTATCCAGAGTCACTATGTATTTCAGTAACAATCATACAGTAGAATCTTAATGTCACATATAGTGTTGCTACGCATATTTCGCCAGGATAATGACATTCAGTAGATTCTGACTTTTCAAATACCACCTCACAAGGCATACTTTGTACAAAATTTCTGTCTTGTAAAAGTGGTGAACATAATAGTATAGACCATCAGTAGGTGAATAAGGTTGCCAGAAAAGGAGCCCAGTCCTGATGGACATGAGGTCTATGAAAAAGTAATGATTCTTTTCTGCAGACTTTCTTATGGGCTCAGGGATTGGAGTGTGCCTATCACTGACCTGCAGAGGGATAGTAAAGTTGGTCTAGGCTGAGTGGGGAGTATTTGTGTGGCCAGTGGAGTTAGGAAGTTGAGACATGGCTGCATAGATAAGACTTCTTCACACTAAGAGCGGTGGTAGCGAGGTGGTTATTCTTGGGAAATGTCACAATTCTGTGCTTAAATCAGCTGTGAGGAGTGGCTTGGTGGAGGGGGAAACTGCATAGTTCCATTTTGTCTTAGCTCCTAGTGTGGACCAGACTCTGCATGTGTTATCCTCATAGAGTGACTGAGCATGTTCCTTCCAGCCTAGGGTTACAGGCATGAAGCTGGACTTTCCCTTTAATGGCAGGCTGCTCTGGGCATAGTTAGGGCTAGGCACTGGACCTGAGATCAGGGAGCCTGTCTCTCTCCTGTGCTCTGTGACTTCCCTGCTGACACTAAGGCAGCGTAGAGTAGGAAGCTGACCTGAAATCTGGAGCTGGGGGAGGGAAAGGAGTAGATGGGGACAAGGAGTCTGGGAAAGTGGAGGCGGGGAGAACTGGGGAGGAAAATGTCTAGGTAAGGGGGGACTGGGAGCCAGATAGCTAGAGAGGTGGATCACAGAGGTCAGACTAGGAGCTGGAGTGGGGTGACATTGGAGCAAGGAGTGTGTATGTGAGAGGGAGACTGAGACTGGATGAGAAGCCCAGGCAGTGAAACTAGGATTAGGAGCAAGTGTTGTCTGATGTCTCCCTTCTCTGCCAAGATGTGGAAGTGGGGACAAAGACTAGGACTGGCAGGGCAAGGAGACTGTGACTGGGTAGTGAAGGAGAATGGGACTGGGACAAGGCTTCGGGGAGGGGAGGAGGAAGAGGTATAACAGGGACAGGTTGGAGGGGATGGAGCAGAAGGATCAAGTTTGGAGGGAATGGGCAGAAAAGTCTGTGTTCATTCAAGCACACACCCTCCAGAGCCTGAAATGGAGCTTGAGATCCCAGAACTTTGCTATTTCTTTGCCAACAACAAATGCCTGTGAAAACCAGTGGCAGTGTGTGTCTCACCTGCCTCTACTGTTGGTCCACATAGACGACGACCTACCACTGCTAGCAGTCCCTCCATTAGCTCAAGGGGAAGAGGTCTGTGCAGTAGATTTAGAGGTTCCAGTTCCAAGGAACCATGTGTGTGTCAATATGATGCTATATGACAGAATTTCTGCTTTTTCAGTTTGCTTTTCTAAAAAATCTAGGAAATTGCGCACACACAAACTATGTTAAAAGAACATGCTTAAGATTGCAAAGTTAACACTCAAAAAGTTAGGAAATGCCAGTGTGATGTTACGCCCCCATATTCTTCATAGAAATATTATGATATGAATATGGCATAACTAAGATATGTTTTATGCAAGATGGGTCATGTGAGGTATTTGAAAGGTTATAATTTACTGAATGTAATTATTGAATTTGTGTGCATGTATCATTTCTGTAGCTGAAGTTAGGAATATTGACTATGTAACAATTGCAACTGTGCATACTTGGGGAACGCCCACCAGACAGTATGCAATCAGCCTGGATGGTCCATTAGGAAAGACAGTGGGTCTTTGAAAATGCTAATCTCCCATCTTCCTGGAGTTCCTTCCTGTGGATTTGGCCATATATTGAAGCATGACGAGACAATAAAATATTGACTAGGCCCTTATTAAGGGGAAATAGTCCATCCTATACACCGAATGAGGCAGGGGCCCTATGGAAAAGGTAGCATGTAATTAAGGACCATGAATGCATATTCACAGGCAACCTTATTTCTGGCATTTCATAACTTTTGAGTGCTTGACTTTGCAACCCTAATAATGTTTTAATGTATGTATTTATATGTAATTATTTAAATGTTGCTGCATAAATATATTACAGAATTCTCTTTGGTTTACTTCTGTGAAGAGGCTTTTTATTAGTTTTCACACAGAGCACACTCAGTGTCAGTGGTTCCCAAACTTTAATAACCCACGGACCCCTTTCACGAAAATACCAAATCTCGTGAACCCCCCTCCTACAAATGAATATTTCCAGGGATTTTTCTCCCTTACAGAGCATAAATTATTGAAGCAGTAATTTGGTATTTTTACGACATGCTTATTACACACTATTATTACGTTATGAAAATGGCAATACTCTTCCAAGATTTCACTTCTGTAGCTGTAACAATGCTGCCCGTGGGAGCCAGCTGAAGTCACTCAATTAGGGTGAACTGCAAACAACGCGGGGCAAACAAACCCCAACAGCTGGTGGATATTCCAATACTTAGATTTACCAGGCCAGCACAAAACTGCTCCTGTATTACCTCACTGGTTACTCAGAAGTCCAAACAACGCTGTTCCCTTAAAATGCCCAGCCTCAGGCCTCTATCCAGACACACGTGTCAGATATGATGATGATTACTGAAAATCTTCTCATCATAGTAAAGGTTCTTCCAATCCCAAAGGATCAGCCACACACCCAGGTCCAATTATAACTTAGATCTTACCCAGAATACACATTTATAGCCAATTCTTATTAACTAAGCTAAAATTTATTAAAAAAGAAAAGAGTTTTGGTTAAAAGATCAATATACATATAGACTTGAATTCAATTCTTGATGCTCAGATATATAGCAGAGATGAGCTTGTAGTTGCCAAAAGTCCTTTTAGAAATAGTCCATAGGTTATAGTCCAATGTCCATATTCAGGGTGACTCCAGTCAGTGACTGGGGATCTCAATCCTTATGGCTTAAGGTTGCCCCCTCTTGAAACCCAAAGCAGAGCTGAGATGAAGAAGGATCATGTCCCAAGGTCTTTATACATTTCCAGCAGCCTTTTGGCCTGAGAAAACAATAGGCTTAACTTTCCTTCTCCTAAACATCGTGGCAATTAGTACAGGGTAATTTATCCATTAAACAGTTCAGCTACAGGTTACCAGAACCTTCAGAGACATATTGACAAGAATATTATTTCACTCAAGTGTCTTCCTAAATGTTAATATTCCTTTTTTGATCTTTGAATCAAAGCTATAGCAATAGCCAAGACTTGTTTGTTTACAGCACAAGACCTGAGCAAACATCTACCCTTCCATCTCTAATGATGCAGGCTGCATTTCAAAGCTCTGTTCATTTACATATCTTCCTAACCAGTCTCTAAAGTTCGGCCATGGGTCAGGTCAGTCTGTGAGTTAATTAACTCTTTCTGCCCCCCCCCCCCGTCACCTTTCAATGAGATATTAAATTACCCTCATAATGTCACAGGAGCTCATATCACTTCAATAAAGGCTGTTATAGGAAAAGGCTCCTACATGTTTCATCAAGGAGTACTAGATGTGAATCAGCATGAAGGTACTTAAGAAGTCAGCTCAAATAAAGAGTTCCTCCCACAAACATTCGGGTCTTGAGCAGCCCAGGCAAACAACGCACGACTATAACAAAGCTTAAAACTTGTTCTTCATAATAATTTAAAAAATAACACTAACAGCCTATTTAATTTTAGAAACAGCAAAAAATATCCACCTCCCTTTCCATTTCTCATAAGGAGTTTAAATCTCCTTAGTGCAATGGATGCGCTTGCTTTGATCTGAATAGCTCTTGGATGTCTGGAACCACTGGAGAAAGATAAAGTCTCAGGTCTGGTTTGGCACTGAGTCTGCTGCTATATTTGGTTTTCAGATGTGCGTACAAGGAAAATGCTTTCTCGCATAAGTATGTTGTTGAAAATGGTAACAAAACTATAGTAGCTTTTTCTGCCAGCAGGGGGGTACTTGTTTCTTAAACTCAGCCAAAAGTTGATCAATGACAGACTTCTGAAACTCCTTTTTAGTTGTAATCACAGGAGAGCTCAATTTATTTCTCTTTTTCCTCAGGGCTCAATATGTGTGTTGAGAAAGTGGTATCATCAGAGGGGTTGCGAATCCAGTCGTTATTACCTGACGTAGCTGGAAAGTATTCCCTGAACGTTTGCAAAGTCCTTTTAGGTGTGCAGTTATATTGGTTTTAGTACAGTGATCCCACTAAAGTTTATCTTCTGCCAGGAAGTCATGAAGAGTACTGAAACGCTCAGGTTAATTGTTTTCCAAACACCTTTCCCAGAACTGCAACTTCTTTATCATGGATTCAGGTCGGTCTTGTATGTTGAAAACTGTTATGTTGAGGACTTGAAGAGAGAAATTTAGGTAATTAATCCTCGAGAAAATGTCTGCTAAGTAAGCCAGGCTCTGGAGCCAGACATGATTTTCCATACAGCTGGTGAGATGGAAAGGGTGGCTGTTGAAAAAAAGAAGGATTTCTGTTCTAAGCTCAAACAAGCACACAAGGATTTTGCTACATGACAGCCATCTAACTTTGCTATGGGACAACAGGCAATTGTGTACATTACCCAGTTTTTTACAAAGTATGTGAAATATTCTGCAATTTGTTTTCTGTGATTTTATTAAATTCACCACTGCATTGTCCAGCACTTCCTTCAGTCCGTCAGGCATGCGTTTTGCTGCGAGGGCTTGTCTCTGGATGCTGCAATGAGTCCAAGAGACGTTTGATGTAGCCTTTTTTGTTTGAACTACAAATCCCTCATTGATGTGGCCCCATCAGTGCAAATGCCTAGACAATGAGACTAATCTATTTCCTTTTCTTGAAAATATACATTAGTCAGAAGATATCTTCTCCAGTTGTACATTCTTTCCATGGTCGACAAAACAGCAAGTCGTCTTCAACCATACCTTCATTCACATAACGTACAAACACTAGCAAAATAGATTAGCAACATCAGTTGATTCATCCAACTGTATAACATAATATGGACTATTTGTCACTCTGTGTACAATTGTGGTCTCTACGTTACTTGACATGACATTAATTTTTTGTGACAACGTATTATTGGACAAAGGTACTACGTCAATCCTTTTTTCAGCCTTTTCTCTGAGCATGCAATGACCTGTCTTTTGTACATGGACCAGTCAAGCTCTCTGCTATGTTATGGACTTCTGATGCTTTTGCTACTTGGTAGCTCATTTGATATGACGCTTCAAGTGCATTTTCATTAGCAGTACTTGCTTTGGATACAAAACATATCACTTTTCCACTTGGTTAATTTTTACTTGAAAAAATCAACAGGCTTGTTGAGTTGTGGGGGGTGCCTAGGTTCTCAGTGGCGCCAAAGTAGAGAAGGTTTGAAGCTGCTGTTTGCTAGAACATCACCAAAAATTACGCACTGTGGTTTTGGACACCTTTGATCACCAGTACATGTAAAGCCATATTTTATATAATCGTTGTCATATTTTCTTTTCTTCATAAGCAACTTTCCAGGACCATCGTGATCACTGACATTTTCCACACTTTGGACTTGATGAAACACTAGCTGATGTCGAACGTTCATTTTCTCATGTCTTTACACTTTCCGTTTTCAGCCACTTGTCCATATTGGGTGTTCAGATAAAAATAACGCACTGAGAACACTAACAAATGAACAAACTAGAAAATGAGAATATTCACTCACGTCTCATTGGAGCAAAATGGCACACTACAGAGAATGACTGAGTATGGACTAACTGGGAGTCGTTACCGCCACATTGGGTACAATAACCTTGGTTCTGGCTGATTTGGCGCACAAATACTTTTTCTCCGCCATCAGGGGGGTTTGGGGCCAGGGACAAATTAGCCTGTACGGTCCCCCCACCCCCAGGTACAGCGCGGCTCCTGCTCCCACTCTGCTCCTCATGCCGCTCAACTTCCCCTGTCCCAGCTGCCGCCTGCGCGCCCGGGGTCCCGGCTGCTGGCTCCACGGGGCTTGGGCTGCCGGCCCTGCGTCTGGGGTCCCTAGGGAGGCTCTGTCCGCCATTACAGATTTTTTTTTCTGAGAACCCCCTGATACATTTCGTGAACCCGAGTTTGGGAACCACTGCTCTATGTCCATGTTTGTTCATGTAATAATTACAGATAAACAACCCATAGACTTAAAGGTTACTTGTGCAGCGTGGTGGCATGCCAAAAGCTAACTCTCACCAGAAGCTGGATTATTACACAAGTGTTTTTAAAATAATATTTGAAACTACTTTTTATTTTAAGAGAAGAATGAATGTTTGGTCCAGTATTTTAAAACCATTTTACACTGTTTCCTCTAGCACTATTTTTTGCACCGATTTATCTAATATCACTGCAGGCACAACTAATATAATTTATTATGAAAATATCAACATAAATATTAAAGGAACACACTTGACTTTAAATCTGTTCAGTTTACTTTTAACTAATTTTTTTTAATCTTAAATACTACATCTCTCCCTGTGTCTAGTTGGCAGTTTTTGGTTTTAAATGTTTTTTTTCTTACCTATTGCTGTAAGAGACTTGTACAAATACAGGAAACGGATTATGCAGGGGCAAACACGGAAACTTCATTTGTTTGCACATTGCGTATAGTCAGAATAAAATTACTGAGGAATATTACAATTTTTAAAAACTTTGTAGTGTTATAACTTGTCACTTGTAACAATATTAGGTTTTCAAAAATGAGATGGATGATGTACTCTTTAAATATGTTTGAGTAGTAAAGGGTCAAGTTGAGGGCACAGGTCTTAACCATGTTAAAAATCTCACATTAGCTGCTCTGTTCCCCTTATTAAGGTGCCAGTGATGATGCTGTTAGTTGCTCAGTGATGCTTGAAATACTGAACACTCTCTCAAAGTCATCTGATCCCTTGCAACATGCTGTCATATTCCTTTTCAACGGTGCAGAAGAAAATATCTTGCAGGTAAGATTAATTAGTATGCCAGATTTATAAAACATGCATAATCAGAACCCTGAATTAGAGATGATTGACAAAGGAAATAGTAATTATAGGTTTGCCTTGTATTTTGCAAATCTAAATGTCCGTTACAGGTGTTAATCGGCTTTTCAGTTATCTGAGGATAATTATAATTAATGCTATTTATAAAGTTAATTTAACCTGAATTATGAATGTTCACAATGTTGCTTTAATGAGCAGGTTCCTAAGTGTTGCAAGTAAGATGCAGCATCATGTGTTGCTCAGCTCAGACGACTGAGAATCTTGACCCTTGGGTTCTACTCCCAGCTCTACCTCTCACCTGTGTGATGTTGAGTTTTAAAAAAAAAAAAAAGTCAATTCTCTGTGCATCATTTACACTTGTTTTCAGATGGGTGAAATACTTAACTACCAGACTTAATATTTGTAAATGTTTTGATTTCCTATGACAGATGTTACAGAAGTGCAAATTGATTATTTTGTTTGCTTTAAAGTTTTTTGTGATGGTTGGCAAGTCACAATCTGATGTTATAGACATTTGTTTCCTCCTTTACCCTCCCCTGAAAAAGTATTTTAATGCTGTATAACTTTCTGTCAGTGAAAGTTAACAGACCTTGTAACTCTAAAGGGTCATCTACTCTACAGGCATGATTCTCACTTAGATTAAGGTCACTTTTTTTTTTTTTTTTTTACATCATTCTGGAAATGTAAAGTGGTTTTAGTACTCAGTTTACATTTATACTACAAGTTTAACCATACTAATGTACTGTTATGGAAGTCTATATTGTAATGTGGTTCTTCATTCATAATTCAGGGAGAACAATTTGGTTAGTAGGCCATAGTAGGGAATCTGTTGCATTCCTGATCATCGTAGTAATTACCTAAATATGTTTTGTTTTGTTGTTGTTACAAAAACAATTAGATTCTAAACCACTCTAACTATGCTAAACTATTGTTTGTAGGCATGTAAGCTTTTTGAGACAAACACTGTGTGTCTGTGTTTCTAAAGGGCCTAGCTGATTGGACTCTCTAGTATGTAATAATATACATATTAAATATTTGGATTGGACACCAAACAATGAGTGTGAACATAAGGGTTTTTGAGGGCATGAAGAAAGAGGAGACGTGGTGGTGGTGTCATGGACGCAGATGAGTGAATTTTGTTATGTTGATGGCTCCTCTTCTCTGTGCCCTCAAGTAAACTTCTGGCTTCACCTGCAATGCACCTGTGATCGTTCCCCTGTCAAAATCTGAATTCAGGTGCCTCTGATGGCAAATAATCTCTAGGCTTTTTCTTAAAGATATTTGACCTATATCTTCTTTGCTTCTTGTCAAGGCTAGTCATGGCTTCATTACACAACACCGCTGGGCCAAGTCGATTAGAGCATTTATTAACCTGGAGGCAGCAGGTGTAGGAGGGAAAGAACTTGTATTTCAGACAGGTATGATCATGCATTACATTTCCCACTTGTACACATGAGTTGGTTGTGTTTTATTTAGGACAAAAAACAAACAAACTAAAGTTTTCTTACTAGAAACAAACTTCTTAAAGAATATTGAAAATAGCCCATGAGGTCGATGAGAATAAATTTCACAGCATGCAGACTCCATCAGATCCTTACCTTGCAGATAACAAACTATTGAACAGGTTTAATTACCCTAAGGCTTTGGCACAAGCAGAGACAAAGTCATTGTGAAGACAGTGAGGCAACATGTCTTCTTAATGCCAATTTTTTGATACTTTTTTCCATAATGAATTTAGAATGAAATATTGGCCTTAATCTTGCTTTCCTGGCTCTCATCTGTCAACCTGAAATTTTTAACCATAAAATACACTTTGGGATCCTTGAAAATTCCATCTAACTCCTTTTAAAAAACAACAACTCTCTTTTATGCTGTGAAATTCACCATTCAGGCAGGAAATCCTCTGCAGCACAGCTGGAGCTTTAAGTGCAGCAGTTGTAGTTCCATTTTGTGTTGAAGTAGCTGGTACAAAACAGATCAATGGAATGGTGGATAATCCTGCTGCTGTACTTCCTAACACCTTAAATGAGTGCATTTTGTTTTTTCTGTTGGAAGCAGAGCTTTCTGCTGACCACAACTCTGCAGAAATATAAATGGGCTGGTGATAAACTTCCGTTGTATCCTGGTTGGGCTGCAGATTTCCCTCTGCTGCTCCAGTTTATTTATTGCTTCTATGGAAAACTTCAGTAGAGAGTTTTTCAAAACAATGAATTTGACACATTGCTGGAGGAATAATGTGGGAGCTGAGGAGTCTCCCAAACATATCCTTAGGTAGTGGGGAGGAGGGGTTCCAAAGCATTGGAAAGGAGACAGTAAAAACAAAGTTCTAAAATATGAGACATTTATTTTTCCTAAAAATTGCTTGATATCTGCCTAAGGAACAATAGAGGCCTTGCTGTGCTTGAGTGCATTAATCCACGTTACTGTATTGTCATTTTAATGACTATACACATTATGAATGACTCCTGTATATCCAGTTATTACATTAAAGGAGCTGTTGAATTCAGTGTTGGTTGGAGCAGAAGTTCTCAACCTCTCCAGACCACTGTACCCCTTTCAGGAGTCTGCTTTGTCGTGTGTACCCCAAAGTTTCCTCACTTAATAACTACTTGCTCACAAAATCAGGCAAAAATACAAAAGTGTTACAGAACACTATTACTGAAAAATTGCTTACTTTCTCATTTTTACCATATAAATATAAAATCAATTGGAATATAAATATTGTACTTACATTTCTGTGTAGTATATAGAGCAGTATAAACTAGTCATTGTCTGTATGAAATTTTAGTTTGTACTGACTTCGCTAGTGTTTTTCATGTAGCCTGTTGTAAAACTACGCAAATATCTAGATGAGTTGATATACCCTCTGGAAGACCTCTGCATACCTCCCAGGGGTATAGGTACCTGTGGCTGAGGACCACTGGGGTAGAGTAATGAATCTGAGACAGGAAGTCAGGAATGTCTGAGAACTGTTCCCAGCTTTATCAGTGACTCACTATGTCATCATCACCATATTACTTAATCTATTTCCCAATCAGTGAAGTGGGAGACTAATACTGCTAATACCTCAAGAGTTTTGGGGATTTGGTTTATACATTGCTTTAAAGATCTAAAGTACTAAATGAAGGCTATATATTACTACCCTTGGGATGAAGTAAGAAATACTCCCTTTAGGGGGAAGTGATTTACTTTGTTATGCATTTTCAAACAATTTATGTCTTTTACTCCCTTTCTAGGTATTGATAATAAATGCATTTAAAGATGCATTTAAATTTGTCTTTTACTCCCTTTCTAGGTATTAATAATAAATGCATTTAAAGATGTGGTTCTTGAAAAAATGCTTAACTTAATCTAATCCTTTGATAATAGTGGTGTTCAACACAGCATTTAAAAAGTGTTGCTGTTGTTTAAACTAATTTAATCTTCTGAAGTGCTGGCATCAACAAACTTCTGTACTAAAGGGGAAAGTATATACAAGATCAACAAGCAAAAAGCCAGGTGAATCACTGCAGAAGTGCTCTGTGTGCTGGGAGTAGCCAGGAGGGCCCATTGTCACAACCAATGCCATGATTTCAGTATAAGGTTATTAGTCTAATCTGGAGAGATAGAGAGAGGCATTTCTGGAAGGAGTTTTAAAACGAAGCAAGAAAGACATTTCAAAAAACCTTGTGCTATTGTGCCACTAGTTCACCCTGTTATGTTACTTCTAAGGAGAGTGAAGTGCTCCTGTCACTGTAAATATTCAAACGTTAAATTAGTTCTCAGTCCTCCAGTAGAACCTAATGGTAACACTCTAACTGACTTCAATGCGAGCAAGATATGGCTCTTGAGACTGTTCTGTAGGAACAGAACTGATTGAACGTGAAAGAGATGGATTGAATGATCTGACAGGGCTCTTCAATTAACAGTGACATGGGATTTCAATAAGTGGTGACTATTTACGATGGTATTGACTGTTTCCAGTACATGTTGCTATGGTGCTAACAGTTTGTAGCACAAAGTCAGTGGTATGTGTTAGGGGGCTTATTCCTTCACCCACTTATTTCCCTGGTCCTTCTCGCATGAACAGAGAGCAACAATACCCGAAGTCCAAAGGTGCAAACAATTCAATGTTTATTGGGGTGAACTTCCAGCAAGCATGATTCCAGTTTCTTTCCTTAGTATCCTCCTTCCCAGCTCTGACACCACAGAGCCTTACACTGTGTCCCTGTTCCCATTCCTGCCCTTAGCCAAACATGATTCCAGTTTCCCCACTCCCATTCCCTGTTCCCATTTCCCCCTTTACCAAAACATGATTCCAATTTCCTTACCCTCCATTCCCTGTTCCCATCTCCCCCACACCCCCTCACTTCCTGATTGACTGCAGACTATATAGTAAAACTTGAGTTCAGCTTAGCTATACCTTAACCAATCATTTTTCTGAAATTTAACTAACCAATCCTAACATAGTGTAACATGATTATGTAACCAATTATATCCCACCACCTTAATTAGTTTACACCCAGCAAAATTAATTATACAGCAGACAGGAACAATCACAGAACCAGACAGAGATTATACAGACAAACAATAGCAAAGTGGGAACTATAATGGCAAAACAATACAGAAGTGAGGATTTCACATCCTAGCTATTGATAAGTGAGTTCTTGCCAGACAGGATGCTATCAAAGTAAGTTTCCTTTTACATTTTCTAGGCACTTCCCTTTCTCTGGAGGGAATAGGCACTATCAGGACAGGATTGTATTCATAACAGCCCAATAGCACCTTCTTTCAATGTGACTAGTTTGGAATATGAGGATGTGACCGGTCGCTTCCCAGCTTATGGCTGCCTCTGCTGCTTAGCCAAAGGCCTTAGCCTAAGCACAGAGCCTCAGACTGTCACAGTGAGAGAAGGCTTTTACACCAGCAGACAGTGATTTTAATTCTTTCTTTTATACCTCTATAACTAGCCAAGTGATAAGAATACACCTAAATTCTTAGAGTACAGGCCTTTACAGACAGGCCTGAATATCTATATCCTAACAGTATGTAGATTTAAAATAAAAAAAAAATTAATCAAACTTGTAACTGCTTTAAACAGCTGACTGAGGGGAAGAGCAGAAAAAGCATGTCTGTTTCAGTGAATTCTTGAACTTCTCCTAAGTGCTTCTCTCTCCCCTATTTCTTTATCACAGTGAACTACACAATCATCTTTTCTCTGTCTCTGAAGCCTGTAATCTTGACATCTTCTTTGACTGAGCCCTCTCCTCTGAGCCACACATGTCTAAACCTTGCTGCTTCTTCCTGTACAGCATCTCCAAGATCCTACATTTCCTCCTTGCTCACACTGCTAAAACTCCATGCCATGATCATCATCTGCCATGAATACTGTTAATACCACCTCTCTGGCATTGAAGCCTGCAACTTCCCCCACTCAAATCTATTCAGAATGTGGCTGCTAAAATACCCTTCCTGGCTCACTGCTCTGTCAGCCCCATCTGAAGTCCCTTGATTGGCATCTCCTCTTCCAGTGCATCAAGCAAAAACATATTGTCCTTACTTTCAAAGTTCTCTACAACTTTCCCCCAACCTACTTAGCCAGGTTGTTATCACAAGGTCATCTCTTGGCACCACTCTGCCCATGATGCCAGCCTGGATTTCCTGACTCTCTGAGCACTTTCAGGTTTTCTCTCATGCTTCATCTTATTGGGGGGGGGGGGGGGGAAGCTTGGAGTCAAAATCTATAAAGCTGCTTGCCACCTTATCGTCCTCAAAATTTGCCTCTTATGTAATGCATACAATAAATTACAGCCTGATAATGGCTAGGAAAGTGGTGAGCTGTAGTCACTGCTACTAAATGGCTAATTGTGCTCATGTTATGTTTATCTGTTATCCTGTCTTCCCCATCCTAGCCCGCTTATTTGTCTCCTCTGCCTGTGATACCTTTTAAAAAAAAAAATCTTGTAGGTGGATTGGGGTGAGAACTGTCATTTTTGTACAGTGACTGGCACTGTGGGGTCCAAATTAATTGAGGGTCCTATGTGCTACTGCCACATAAATGGTTATTGATCAACAATATGTCCTAAAGAGTTACTTAGATTTAAAAATTATATAAAGAGACTGTGTGTAATTTTAGGCCCAGATTAGGAAGGATTTTGGTTTTGGGGCAGGAGGAGGCTTTTGTAAAACCTTAATCAAACCATCCTTTCATCTTGGATTAAAACCTCTCCAGAAGAATGTGTAGGTCAAACACTGCATCACTGTGCTATTGCACAAGAGTCAGAAAATGAAACTACTGGTAATCAAGTGAGAGATTTTTTAAGTTGTGGTAGGGACCACAGTGCTAAATTCCCCAATACCTCTGTCTGCTATATGCTGTTCTGATGGAGTGAAGAATCTGTAAACCTGCCATTGAAGAATCCCCCTTGCCTGGGGAAACCTAATGTGACGTAGAGCCATGATAGTGGCTCCTGGCCTATGGAGCCAGCCCCTGAGGGTGCTCAAATCCATGTTGGGATCTGCATGGTGCAGAACTGGCATCAAGATAGGGGTGGTGTGTAAATATGGTTTAAATAGGGGTGCCAGTATTGGTTGAACTTATTCTTTGAGGTTTCATCACATGATATAATCTTTAATTCCTGGGGACTCCAGGACAATCCTGGAGAATTGGCAACCCTAGGTTTAAAGCCACCTTGGCTGACTTCCTTCCTAGGCTGTGCCCAGTGCTGGGCTAAAATGGGCTAGGTGCTTGCTAAAGCATAGGACACCATGCGAGTTTATTTGCAGTGTTCAAACTGAACAAAGTATAAAAAGTAAAAATGGTTTAAATAGTGAAAAATAAATTAAACATGCAATGAGTGCAATTTTAAAAATCCTTGTTCATAATATTGTCACAGGTAAAGACTTGTGTACTACTTGAATCTTTTGTATAGTAATGTTTTAAGAGATTTACTGAATGACAGTAGCAATCTTATGTTAAATCCTCACAGTTCTCAAACAGTTTATTTGACATTGACTTTAATCTCTCACGATGAACGGGCTTTAACTTGTTTTTAAACACTGAGATTAGTGTTTGTTGCATGGGAAAATGGGATTTGAGCATTGTGAACTGGAGACGTGCAGTAATCTAAACAAGAACTACCTTACTGTTGAACCTATAGCCATTGTATCTAATCACCGATACAGTTATGATTAAGGCTTGTTGCCTGTCATGGGAAGCATTTTAGTTTAAAAATAAGAAGGTCATAAAAGCATATAAATTTCCCTTAGGAAATTATTAGATCAGAGAAGGAGTTACAATAAAATTGATAACCATGTGTCATGGATCCACAAAGCACTCTATGCCTCCAAGCAACCTTTATATAGTGTCTCTGGGAGTGTAGTTGTCTTTTCCCTAGGCTTCCCCTTTTTACAGGGGACAGCCCTGCTACTCAGCTACTCCAAGACTGGGTCCCTGGCTTCAACACCTCTTTTTCTCACCAGGGCTCCTTCAGCAGTCCCAAAGAGCTCAAACCCCTACTGGAGACTTGCCATCTTGGGAGGTCTGCAACTAGCAAATGTTTGCAGCAATACAGGACAGCTGTTTCAAAACAAGATATCCTTTATTAGTCAACAGAAATATGATATTTAGTTCCTTAGATTAGAATGGTAAAGCAAAGCCTGCCTACATGTGTGTGCTGCAGCATAAAGTGCATGTCTTGCCCAAACATCCAGGGTTTCACACACTACTGCACTGGACAGCAGCATTCTTATTATAGTCTAACATCTCAGTTCTTTGTTTCAAGCTTCAGTCACACTTCTTTCACATGTTCAGCCTTCCTTGGCTGGCAATCATTAAAAGTTGAAGTCGGCTGTTGGTCTTCCATTATACCTCCACAGTAACACCATTTATATGTTGATGGTTCTTGCTTGATCATGAATACGCCTACTGATGCACATGCAGCCACTACATTGCTTTCCCTCTGTCCTATAATAGAAATTAGCCCCTTCAGACCCTGTGGCCAAACAATACAAAAGTGATCAGGGAAATGAAGTCATACATTTAAAATTTAAAAAATAGAGAAATTTCCCATATTTTTCATGACCTCTTCTTAGTTGATGATATTCCATTATGCTGGATGTATAGAGAATTATTTTTAAATGAATGCACTAAGGAGTAGGATGATTGGAATGAAGGACAATGACATGAAAAACCCTACAAGTCAGGTTTTTTTTAATCATAGAGGTCATGGCTCTCAAACTCGACATGATATAGATATGATCCTGATAAAACTTCAGTTTCCTCTCTCTTCCCATCCACTTCCAATATGGTTTACTGTCCTTACTTTGAATCTTGTGCTCTCTCGCAGCAACATATTTGAGATATTAACTAATTAGCAGCATGAAACTTATTTAAGAGAGAAACTGTGGAAACACGGAAGAAAAGAGTTTTCCATTAAGATCTGTTTTTATGCGTGAACACTGATACTTAATCCAGAGACTGGTTAGATGTAGTTGAATGTGCCTAGTTCTTCTTTGAGTGTTTGCTTTGTTTTGGGGTAGGTGGATTCAGAATGTACTCCTTCATATCAGGTAGACCGGCCTGCAAGATGCACTTAATTAAGGTGTTTCCCAGGGGTCAGATATTTAAGCCCAGTAATGCCTCCTCTTAGCACTCTTCACTCCTTTAGTTTTGATCTTGTATATGATTCTCCAGTTTTTGTAAATCCCTTGTTTTCCATTGGCAGGGCCTGAAAATCCTTGGTTGGTACAAGCATATGTCTTTGCAGCCAAGCATCCCTTTGCCTCTGTGGTGGCACAGGAAGTGTTTCAGAGTGGAATTATCCCTGCAGATACAGACTTCCGTATCTACAGGGACTTCGGGAATATTCCAGGTATGTTATCAGTAAGCCTGTCAATGGGGGGCATTATTTAACCCTTATCTAGATTTATAACAAGGGGCCAATCCTGTAAATGCTCATTCATGTAACAGTTTTAGGGTTTGGGCTCTAGGCCATGAACTCCAAACTGAAACTTGACTTGGTGTCTGCTTAAGTTTAGGAGGAACATACTGTGTTTCTCCCCTAGGAAAATAACCCTCATGGTTTTTGGTGTCCCACACAGACTAGGTGTATATACTCAAGGTCCTGAGTGTTCTCTGTTTCAGTGTGTCTTCATTCTCTGTCAGCCCCCTGACTTCTAGCACACTATGCCATGGCCATGCCATGGCACACTGAAAATTCTCTGACTTTTAAGTTGTGGATTAATATAGCAAACTACAGTTGATCTTAATTAAACCAAAACGGTACCACATTGTCAAAGTACAGCAGGTTTGAAAATATAAAATGCTTTCCTCCATGACAGCATTGACCACAGTATCACGTTGTAGCTGAGGTTTAATGCCACCTCACAGGTATAGGTTATGGAAAGCTGCTACCCTTGTCACTTTGCAATCCAGATATATGGGCTACAGAAACTTGCTCGTTTCTGGCATATGAGTTGGCAATGGCAGTTTTTGCAAACAGTGTTAATAAAGCCAATGGGTACCCCAGGGAGAAAGAGAGCCTATTACAGGGGGCAACCACATGGGGAAAATTACTTACTTAAAAATCAGGGAAATCTCTTGGAAGTCAAATATATATTATAGCATAGTTACATTTAAAACATTTAAATTCAAGTGGGGAAAAACCCCCACTTGCAACCAAGAATTAAAAGAAAAATTATCTATGTAAGGAATAGACGGGAAAAAAGAAGCATCACTTTTAGATTTGTAACTCTTATGGCTGCAGTCTTACTACTTTCATTGCAGTAGTCATGCTCCAGATGGTCAGGAATGGGGACTTTTGAATCCTTAGTTTACATTTCACACTAATCCCTTTTTCCTAACTACTTAAATAATGGGTGGTTTAATTGGAGAAGACGGCACAAAATGACATCTCATTTGGCACAAATGCTAAAGGAAAATCGATTTCTAGAGGAGGAGGATTGAAGGTATTTTAATATGTCTAGCTTTGAATGAACACTGAGTTATCTTCTTCTCTAGAAAAGTGGTCTACACAGAGTGACACTTAAGGACATGGTTAAAGCAAAGTATTGTACTGCGTGCTCTGAACTGTTCTGAAGCACACTTCTAATCTCAAAATGGATTTTGTAAGCATAGTACCTTCTGATGTAGCTAATCTGTGTCCATCTGTGTTTGGAAATGTACCTACTCTATTAGGTGGCAAATGAGTTTTTATTGCCTTTCTTCTGATAGCCATGCAGAGCGAAAACAGCTGTGTCTGAGAAATGGATTCTATTCCTTCTTGTGCACCAACAAAATTGTTTGTTTGTTTTGATCAGCTACACTGGTACAAAATCAGTGACAGCACTAAGAGTATGTAGGTACTACTGTGAGCGTACACACTATGAATTTCACAGGGGTACACTGAAGGCATCATTTGGCTTGCAGAATCTCTACTAGTGGTGATTCATGGGAAGGAAAGAACTCAGCTTGATTTTTGGAGTCCAAGCAGACTTTGCAAGACTGGCAATTACAAAAAATCTCTTTTTACTTGTAAGCTGACCACACAGAATTGTTAAGCAGTGGTAATCATGCAATCTCAGGATTACATTTTCTAGTTGCTTTTCTGTATAGAACCACACTGAATCTTTAGTGATGATGCTGGGAAAGCACAAAATCTGGAATTTGGCTGTTGGCTGGTAAGAGTGATATTCCACTGCTTCAGGCAGACAACCAGTCACCAAATAAGCCCCCTATCACCTTCCATAGTTTATGCTGTCCTTGGAGGCTAGAGGCTAGCTTCATTAGAGAATCAGGTAATCAGGAATATTGGCATAGGCATGACTTTCTACAGTAGAGGGAAGCTGTGTGTATAAACACCAGGCATGGCAGTAAAATACAGAAGGTTCAAATATTTTCATATACCTTTAATTAAATATGTCCAGGTTCTGTTACAAAATTGGTTCTTAAGCAGTCTTACTACATGTGGTAAGCTGTTCAAGTCATAGTAGTCAAAAATGGTTGTTGGGTTACACTGGTAGAACTAAACTATTTTTTACTTTGTAAAATGTTCTGAAAGCTTTCAAGTATTTTTGATTAGGTTTAGGTAACTTTAATCATAGTCCTTTTCTATCTTCATAGGAATAGACTTGGCTTTTATTGAAAATGGCTACATTTACCATACAAAATATGACACACCAGACAGAATACTAACGGATTCAATTCAGAGAGCAGGTTGGTATTCAGACTTCCATCAAAAATCCGATAAAGAATATGGCTAAATGAAAATTGCTTCCTTTTCCCACTAATCCTTATCATAGCCCCTATAAGTTGGAAATTTCTTAACGATTAGTGATGCATAATCTAAACATTTGGTAAATTTCAAAAGAAATGAAACTTCTCAGAATTCAGTGGCTCCTGATTTGTAACAAGCTATGGAGCCTCTTTCAGATTGAAATCTGGCCAGGCCAGTGTTGACCAAATTCATCGCCCTCTGATGACTGTTCAAAGATCTGTCTCTGGCCATTTTCATATGGGCAAATATGCACAATACTTTGAATCCTTGTTTAATATTCTCCACAAGGAGGCTGAGGGTTAAATGGGTGACATGGAGACTGAACTGCCTCTAGGATTGGTCCTTCCCTAACCGGGGCAGAATGAAAATGGCAGGACAATCTGGGCAAGCTTCTGCTGCTGCCACTGCCCATATTTTATTATTTCCGGGGATAAAGAGAACAATTCACTTTCCAGATCTGTCAATATTTTACCTTTTTATAAGCACTAAATTTACTCTTAAGAGAATCTGTAAAAGAAATTATTAATAGATTTTTGAAAAACCACAACACCCAAGTGTGTGCTCGTCACCACCAGGAATATTAACAAAATTAGTGTCTTCTTTCTTTGACTGGTAGAATTAAATCAATGTTACTCTTTCCAGGCTTGTTTCTCAATCTTTTTATAGGCACTCAAGCATCAGTTGTCGTCTTGCAGTCATGAATAAATTATATAGCTAATATTCAGTTTTAGTTGAAGGAATTGGTTCAGCAGCAGAGTTCTGTGAATAACTTTCATGGAGATCAAACAGTTTTACATGTTTTGTTTTGTTTTTAAAGTAATACAGCTGCAAGATCTAGTGTACTTCTGTTTTTTTTCCCCCCCATCCTTGTTGTAAAGCTGATGCTCCTCATTTTGATAATTTGTTACAGCAAGAGCATGTCACTGCTTAGAGCTTGGTTCCCAAGGATTTTTTATATTAAGGGTCACTATGTAGGTTTAGAACAGTGGTTCTCAAACTGTGGGTCAGGACCACAAAGTGGGTTGTGACCCCATTTTAATGGGATCGCCAGAGCTGGCTTAGACTTGCTGGAGCTCAGGGCTGAAGCCCAAGCCCCACTGCCCAGGGCCAAAGCTGAAGCATTCAGCCCTGAGCGGCGGGGCTCAGGTTACAGGTCCCTCTGACTGGAGCTGAACCCCTTGGGCTTTGGCTTTGACCCTCTACCCTGCCCAGGGTAGTGAGGCTCGGGCTTTGGCTTTGGCACCCCACCTGGGACAGTAGGAATCAGGCAGACTTAGGCTTCGATCCCACCTCCTGGGGTTGTGTAGTAATTTTTGTTGTCAGAAGGGGGTCACGGTCCATTGAAGTTTGAGAACTCCTGGTTTAGAAGAATATTTTGCATTGTGTGTAATCAAATATGAAATGACAGCTGAAAGATCTTAAACACATTTCTAACGTGATGTAGAAGTATAATTTTAAGATGTAATGTTTTTCTTTTTTTATAACATCTATATATAGAACTATGCACTTGTTTTTCCTATTTTCCTATTATATATGTCTTTTTTTCCCCCCCCTTAAACAGGTGACAATATATTAGGAATGCTAAAATACTTAGCAACATCAGATAAATTGGCAAAATCTTTTGACTATCGGCATGGAAATGTGGTCTTCTTTGATGTATTTGGTCTGTTTGTCCTGGCCTACCCTGCTCGTGTTGGCACCATCATGAACTATATAATAACTGCAGTTACTGTCCTTTATCTAGGAAAAAAAATATTACAGCCCAGAAACAGGGGTAAGTCCAGTTAAGACAAATGTGATTTTTCTGAAGAGAAGGAACTTGTAAGTTTTTAAATAAACAGGAGCTAACATGATAGGAAATTATCAGCAGATTATGCAGTTACTTGCATAGATGAACTTTAAAATGGATATTGTGTACTCAGTGGCTTGTGTCATTTGCTTTGGAGCTCATTGTATTAAGTCACTCAAGCATGAAATGACTACAGTGATAAAGGGATATCATCATAGGCCCAAAATCAAGAATGTGTTGTAGCTCAGCTTTTCATGAAAATTTCAGTGGCATTTTTTAAAAAGTTAAAAACAGCCATCTGAAATTATTTCAAAATGATTCAATGTCCAGTTTAAATTGTTAGTTTTAGTAACACGGGCAGGGCTTTTTTCTTTCTTATTTAAAAAAGGGGTATCTTTTTACATACAAATTTGTCAATATACAGCAGCAAATAATAAAACAGTCTTTTAAAAGGAATAAAGGGGTACTAAAACTTACTTAAAGGACCTTGTTCATGTAGGCTAAATAGACTTATAGACTTTAAGGTCCGAAGGGACCATCGTGATCATCTAGTCTGACCTCCTGCACATTGCAGGCCACAGAACCTCACCCACTCCTGAAACAGACCCCCAAACCCTGGCTGAGTTACTGAAATACTCAAATCATGGTTTAAAGACTTCATGTTACAGAGAATCCACCCTTTACACTAGTTTAAACCTGCGAGTGACCCATGCAACCTCCTACAGAAGCTACGGAAACTACCTTCTTTCTCTGGGAAAACATAAACTGGAATCCTTAAAAAAACAAACAAGAGGTTTCCTAGGCTGTGGGATAATCTCTCAAGGGAAATGCCCTGAACAAATCACTAGTTCAGTAAGAAAGGATCTTATAGTGATAAGGACATGGGCTGGATAGCTTAGGCCCTGATGCTGCAAAGGAATCTTCAACAGCAGACCCCTAAACCTACATTGCGTCTTGTTTAATTGCTTTAATGACCAAGGTGATCATTGTTGTAATTTTAGTTCCAGTATAGCACCCTAACTATAAGATGTAGCTAATAAAATGGCCCACTGCATTTGAGTTTACTATTCTTTCTCTCTTCCTTAGCTATTAACTACATGAAGGAGCTCTCCGTTGCATTTGGCTTCACATTGTTAAGTTGGTTCTCCACATTAGTGACTGTTCTTATTGTGGCAGTGTTCATCTCTCTCATCGGACGGTCTCTTTCTTGGTATAACCACTTCTATGTCTCCATCTTCTTGTATGGAACTGCAGCTGCAGCTAAACTAATCCTTGTGCACACGTTAGCCAAAAAGTTCTATTATAAGGTAAGTGCTGATTCTTTGTAGTTTACTGGTTGGTGACATGGAGTAGAAAAATTAGATCATTACTGATGATGAACAGGGATTTAATAATCTGAACTGTGATACAGTATTGGCTACTTGGAAGCCCATCAGTTCAGTTGGCTCATAAGCTTCATGAAGATTTGTATCTCTGTCTAACATGTATTTAAAGGACATCTTTTAGGGTGTTAAGTTGAATATTTTTAAGCATATTATCAAACTGGATCAGTCCCTAGACCCATCTAGTTGAGAATATTGTGTCTGACAGTGACCAATACTAGATGCTTCAGAAGAAAGGGCAAGAACCCCATGGTAGGCTAATTTAAGATAATTCTACTGCATTAGGTCTCATCCTGGTCTCTAGTAGTTAAATTGGTTTAACCCTGAAGCATGAGGTTTTGACATTCTTGTTATCACTAATTATGATAACTCTGCATATTCTTTATCTATGTAGTTATTCAGTCATTCTTTGAATCTTGTTAATTTTTTTGGCTTCAGATAACTGCCTGTGGCAATGAGTTCCACAGATTAATCACAGACTGTGTGGAAAAGTGGTTCCTTTTATTTGTTTTGAATTTCTCACCTTTTAAATTTTATTAAATGATCCTTTAGTCTTGTGTTATAAGGCAGAGAGAACAGAAGTTCCCAGTTTACCTTCTCTGTACTATTCATTATTTTATATACTTTTATCATGTGCCCTCTTATTTTTCTCCTTTCTAAGATAACAATCCCAGTCTTTTCAATCTCTTCTTATGAGTTTTCCCCTGGCTTTGATCATTCTCTTGTTGCTCTTCTGTGAATTTCTAATTCTGCACTTTCCATTTTGAGTACTACACAGAGTATTCTAGGTGAGGCCATACCATTGATTTATATAATGGTATTATAATTTCCATGGTGTTCATCCCATTCCTTACGCATCCTAATTTCTTGTTTGGTTTTTTGACCACAGCTGCACATTGAGTAGAAGTCTTCATTGAGCTATCTACGGTGACGTCCAGGTCCCTTTCTTGAGTTCCTATAATTAATTTAGAACCCTGTAAGGTGTATCGGTAGTTTACATTTTCACTTCCAATGAGCATTACTTTGCATTACTGACATTGAATTTCATTTGTCATCATGTTGCTATGATATTCTGGGGTGCAATCCAGACATTGAAGGGCTGTGTCACCTTTGTCCTGCAACCTGGGGTGCCTTACAGTGCTTTGCTACCGTAACTCGCAACTTTGGCCCCTCAATAAACAAAAAAACAGCATGCAAGTCACACCCTGAGTGTCTGCTGGCAGGCTGCAGCTATAGATGCTTCAGTCACACTCTGGTTTCCACCAGCCTTGATTACCACTTGCGTGGTTATCTCAATACACTCCCAGTCCCAGATTTTCCCTCAAAATGTATGTTCTGTACTGTCCAACCCTCTCCTGAACAGTTCAGATATTTTAGGTCTGTTGCCCCTCTAAAGTCCTGCTACTTTAAATGGAGTTATCTCATAGTCCAGTTTAATGACAACAATTGGATTAGTTTTGATTAAAGAATAAAACAAGTTTATTTACATACAAGAAGATAGGTTTTAAGTGAGTACAAGTATAAGGTCCGAAGGGACCATCGTGATCATCTAGTCTGACCTCCTGCACATTGCAGGCCACAGAACCTCATCCACTCCTGAAACAGACCCCCAAACCCTGGCTGAGTTACTGAAATACTCAAATCATGGTTTAAAGACTTCATGTTACAGAGAATCCACCCTTTACACTAGTTTAAACCTGCGAGTGACCCATGCAACCTCCTACAGAAGCTACGGAAACGGTTACAAGAGAAATAGAGATGAAATGGTTTCTATTACTAGAACTTAACAAACTAGAGTTGATGAAGGTGAAACCCCCTACCACATGTTTTCACTAACATTGCTAACCAATGTTAAAAATGTGCCTGATCTTGCCTGTGGATCCTGGTGTTTCCTTTGAAAAAAATAAAATAACCCCCGAATTTGACAATATAAAATACTATACCCAAAAAAGGCTTTAATGTAATTGTATATGCAGTAATAAAACTGAATATATAGGAAGAGGCATAGTTACAGCTGCTGCTGAAACTGTAACTCAGAATCTTCTTAAGTGTTTGTGAAATGTGTTTTCATGTGGTTACAAACCATTTGCTACATATGAAAGTAAAAAGCAATGTGGATAAAACATACATCTAGAAAATGTTGCCTTCCTTTTCTGTTAATTCTCTCTTCCTTCTCTCCAACTTCCAAACTAATCCTCTGTAAACTACTTTTTTGAATCTCCTCTGATGTAGCATCTAATTATATAGCTCCATAAAGGGAAAGAAACTGGTGTGGCAGTGTTTATAAAAGGATAGATGGTGACCAAACAAAACTTTATCTGTGTATAAGCAACAGAAATTTGCAGTAGTGGCCTTAAGAGATCTGATATATACTGATCACTGTGCGGGCTAATTCTGTATTTTTTCTCTTTTTTCTTTACAGAATACAAATGAGCAGTACCTGGGGGAGATGTTCTTTGATGTCTCACTTCTTGTTTGGTCTATTGCATTGGTTCTAATCACTCAGCTAGGCCTTTGCTCTGCATTCATCTGTGCAATGTGGGTAGCGTTTCCTTTACTCACAAAACTATTGACCTATAGAGAATTCAAACAAAAAGGTAAAATTTGATTTTATTATTTGACAACCTGGCAGCTCAGTTATTATATGTCCGGGCATGATTACAGCCAGCTTGAACTAAACTAAAGAGAATTCCCATTAATGTGGTGTGGTTCTTTAAACAAAAGTAACTTCTCTGAGCTTTGAATTATTCTAACTTAAGAAAACCAGTAGCATTTTGTTAGGAATAACTGTAACCTTGACATAAAGGCAGTTTTTAGAATAGAGCAGATATGTAGGAGTGGTTTGAGTCATCTATGTAATTAGAGTCCTGTGCGGATACAAAATTTATATCCACATCCAATCTGCAATCCACAAAAATGGTCCAGGGATATCTTCCTCCGTGGACGCAGATATCCACAGATACAAAGCGGATATCAGATACAAAGTGGATTTGCAGGGCTCTATATATAATATTCCAGTATTGTCACCCTGAAGCCTAGAATGTCTGTCAGTGTGAAGCTATGGAAACAGCAACAAGCTTGTCTCTTTGTTCAGCATATCACAAGGTTCAATCATCACTAGAGTTTGCAGTCTGTTACCATCCACTTTCTAAGTTCTCAACTATTTTGACTTCACGAATTACACCTGTTTGTTGTACGGCTACACATCTATGCCATGCCAAGAGTCCTAGACCATTGTGATATCAGAGGTAACTCAACCTGTCACCACCCTTTCTTTACAACTAATTTGCATGCAACAATTTCATTGACCATGTGAGGAAGGTTGCACAGATGTGGATTATTTGGCCCAAATGCTACACCCATGTGAGAGAGCCTCGGCTTTTGGCTACTAAAATAATATATATATCAATATAGATTCAGTGGGGTAAATTATCAGTGTTTTCAGTTTTTTGATCATTGTTCAAATATTTAGATGGAAGATGGGACCTAAAGCAGTGTTATAGTTAGACACAGATATTGAGACAAAAGTCTGTTTCGCTTTTTTCACAATACCAATATAGTATTATGTGGCTTTAAAAATGTCTTGCACTGGCATGGTCTGTACCAAATGGAGCCTTCTGTCCATGTAGATGGACCTCGCCCTTGGAAATAGCTTGTATTTGTGCCTTGATATTATATACAGTAACTAATTAAAACTGTAAATTCTGTATCTTACAGGCTACAGAATATAATGCTTGCTTGTTTTTTTCCTCTCTCCTGTAGGTGCCACAATAAGATTTGTTGTGATTTACATGCTGGGAATGTTTATTCCATACCTGTATATAATGTACCTCACCTGGACGATATTTGAAATGTTCATTCCCATCATGGGTCGAAGTGGTACAGAAATTCCACCTGATGTAGTGCTGGCAGCCTTTATCCTTAGCAGCACTGTAATTCTATCTTCCTATTTTGTAAGGAGTTTTTTTTTTTTTTTTAAGATCTTGTAATCTATATATTGAGCTACTTTTTTAAAGGAATATTTGAAATTAATCGTGGTTTAATTGTAGGCTAAAAAGCTAGCGTATTACAAGGAACTCCCATAAAAGTAGCTAAATCAACACATTAAAATTAAACTAGACTCTTCAGAGCTGCTGTTTGTGGATACTTGAAAGCCAAATTCTACCTTCATGTAATGGTGTGCTCCTCTCAGTGAAGTTGATTGAAGTTGTACATATTACAGGGTTGAATTTTGCCCAGTATCTGACTAGAGAGTTGGATTTATACATGATATGAAAATGAGATGCTGATGGGGAAGCTCAGTGGCTTTCCCCTATTGGTGAAGGAGTCCCCGAGAGGACGAGTACATTTTTTTGGTCAATATTCTGTTGAAGTAACCTGCTGTCTATGAAGATGGGGGTCCATCCCATTATAAACTTCCCTTCCTGTATTCAGGATGATTCTTTTGCATTCATGGTGAGATTAAACTGAGTCATTGTACAGGAGAGAGTTTAAATGCAGTAAACAATACATTGTTAGTTGAAGCAAACCCATTTAGACAGAACACAAGAATATATCTGCTGTAGGGTGGAGATGCACAGATCAGTGCAAGGGAAGAGTATCCTCAATTGAAAAACATAATTTAACTTTCTTGAGATATTTTAATACTGGAGGCTAATTAAGACTTTAGTGTAATTTAGGAAGAATGTGGCATTGTGTATAAATTGACCTGAATAATATATAAATACCATGATGTTTCAACACTGTTTTTAACAATGGCCCTCACACAGTCCTCTAATTAAAAATAATCAGGTACCATTTTCTAATGAACATTTTAAAAAACTATGTGTGCTTTCTTAAAACTCCAGGAAATTTGCACATAGATCTAGCATATTGGTTATTTAAGATTGCAAGACTTAACATCTCTTGCATCAAATTAAATAACACTTGTGAAGATAATCACATTTTAAAATGTCCTCTGAATTCCATAAATTAGATCTTTAGAAATATACTAGCACTAGCTTTCGCTATTCAGTGCAGTAATTTCATAACTAGTGTCTGATATTTTTATTCTGTAGCTTAACTTCATCTATCTTGCCAAAAGTACAAAGAAGACACTGATAACTTTAACTACAGTGTTTGGAGTTACACTAATTCTTGTTTGCAGTGGAGTATTCTTCCCATACAGTTCTGATTCTGCTAATCCAAAGCCTAAGCGAGTCTTTCTCCAGGTAAGAAAAACCTTACATAATATATAGCCTACATTTAAAAAATTCTTTTTTTTAAACTGATGGTTTTTCTCTTCAGCCTTCCTTTCCCCCTTCAAAGAAGGGTATTTTATCCTTGGATACAGGACAATTCATAAGAGGATTGTTCATTTCCAAGCAGTTAAAATAATGTAGCTGCTTGAGATTATTGTAACTTTTTTTGTTGTCATTGTTCATGGTGGGCCACTCTTCCCTGACTTCTGTTCGGTTACACCAGGAATGAATTTGGCTCAATAAACATGTTTAAATACTTACATATATTTGTTCTAACCAACAATATTCTTAGAAGTAGCATGCAGGAAGCTAGGTAGACTGTCTCTCTTTTGATCCTTGTGGAGCAGTCCATCTATTTCCTGTGGAGGCTGGTTCAGCTGCACTCTGTATTTGCTGATTTTGTTGGAGTGCTATGGTCAACCTGAAAGGATAGTGGGTTAATCTTCAGCAGTGAAAGGATTTGCCTTCCCCAGTTATTTTTAGAGTGCATATGTATGTGCAAAGAGTGGGTGGAGTGCCAAGTGTAGCTTTGCAATGGTTAAAAGTCTTACCAGACTTTGGAACACCACAAAGTGTAAAAACAAGAAGTGTTATCAAATAAAGGCAAATTGTCTTGTTGCAGTGGGCTTGGAGCCTCTTTCTCTGTTTATCTCCAGTTGAGAGATCTGACATCAAGAAAACTTATTAGTAACTTAAAAGACAACCAGTCCTGTTTATCAATGATATCCTGGTATTATGTAGTGGGATTACCTTCTTAGCAGAGTAGTGGGTAGTGGCAGTAATTTGGAAACTGGGATAATTGATTTTGCTCCTGACAACTTGTTCTTCTTTCAGCGATGGTGCCTATGTGTATCCCACATGTGGGACACCCGTGTGTCTGAGTCCGGAGTTTCTTACAAGCAGTTTCCATTAGCCCACATGCGCCATAGTTCTCGTGCTCCCAACCAATGGCGTAAAGGGAGGTGTGGGCTGACACCTCTCCAGTTCCTTCTGACCACCGCATGCTCTGAGTCAGAATCTTCCATGTCCTCAGCATCTTTTTTACTGCACCATTCCTGTAAGACTTGTATATAACTAGTTTCTTTAGGAGTTTTTATAGTATAGTCTAGCATAATCGGGGTAGTCAATTATTTTTTGTCAAGGTCCAAATTTCTTGGGCAAGGTATAGTCAAGGTCCAGACTCCAAAGAAAATAACAATCAAAAATAACAATAATGATAAGTAAATAAAAGGATTTTGGGGTCTGTTCAAAAGCATGTTGCAAGACCTTCTAGCATGACATGGGGGCAAGATCAAACATCCCAGTCCAGGGCTGGTGCAACTCAGAGCCTGGTATTTGGCTGGGCATCAAAGATAGAATGCTTACGTTTCAAGAGGGTGCAATCTATCTTTAATGAAAGGAGAAAAGTTTCTACAATAAGCTGTTCGAGTGCTTGCTCATATTGATTCCAGTTAGGTGTGTGCGCGTCGCGTGCATGATCGTCGAAAGATTTTTACCCCAGCAACACTCGGTGGGTCAGCTGAGGCACCCACTGGAGTGGCGCCTTCATGGCGCCGGATATATGCCCCAGCCGACCCAGTGCCCCTTAGTTCCTTCTTACCGCCCAGGATGGTCGTTGGAACTGTGGAGCGCAGCGTAGCTGATCTCCACTCTCCCTAGCTTTCTCTCTTAGTACCCGTTAATAGTTGTAATTAGTTGTTAGTAGTTAGTGTAGTTAGATTAGGGTACTTAATAGGGTGGAGCGGGGTCTTCTCCCTCTCCCCCGTCCTGGTACTGGGGCCCCTGCCTGGGTCTCTGTGCTTCAAACCCTGCTCGGCTTGCCTGAAGCCGATGCCAACAGGTGGACCCCCCTCCCTCCACGACTCTTGCCTAAGGTGTCTGGGGGAATCCCACCAAGCGGACAAGTGCCGCATTTGCAAAGCCTTCAAGCCAAGGACCAAAAAGGAGCGGGACTTTAGTCTCAAGCAGCTCCTTTTGGAGGCGGCACTTAGCCTGGTCCCTTCCTCCGCTCACCGGGACTCGGCATTGTCTTCAGTGCGAAGTGCCCCTGTGGCACCGACTGGTCCAGCACCGCGTTCGGACTCTGCTAAGGACTCGCGGCATCGGGCCCCCCCGGCACCTCCACCACCATGGCACCAGTCCCTGTCTCCTGGCCAGAAGAAGCAGCAGCCAAGCAGGTGCTGACTGCTTCTTCGTTGTCAGTTTGATAGCCACCGACACTTCCCGCGCCGGAGCCAAGTCCATTGTTGGAGCGCACAGGACAAGTAATGGCTCCTGCACTGTCCACTCTGGCGCCGCAAGGGCTGTCGAATCCGATGCCTGTTAGCTCCCCAGTGCACACTGCGGTCGAGCTAAGGCTGCCCTCCATGCCGTAGACCTTCTCTACAGCGCAGGACTTGATCGCACTCACAGAGCCGACTCCCCTGCAGCCAGTGGCACCGCTGGTGCGGGTGGTGCCATCGAAGGGAAAACCATCCCTGATATGACCGCTGTCGCCAAGTGAAGCAGGGCGGTACTGGTTCCGGTCCCGATCTTGGTCCTGGCACCTTTCACAGTGTCGCTCGCAGTCCTGGCACCGATCCCGTTCTCGGCGCCAGTTGTACTCGTGACATCGCTCCGGCTCGTGGAGATCAGAATCGCAGTACGGCTGGTACTGATCGCACTCTCGGCACTGCTCCCGGTACTGGTCAGAGCAGCACTCGACCCGGAGCCAATTCCAATGCCGGTCTTGTCGAAGTTCACCATTGAGATCCAGATCAGGCTCCCGGTACTGATATGACCACAGGCACCGATGGACATCTCGGTACCGTTCTACATCTTGCCACTGGTCCACGGCACCATACAGCACTGGATGGCTCTGCGCCAACACGTTCGGCACTGCTTTGGCCGTCTCATTCCGCCTCCATGTCGTCACGCTCACAAGGTGGCCAACACGCCCAGGACTAGGGCGAGGATGGTGCAGGCCAGTGGCTGGACGAAGGCCAGGACCTGAGCCAAGGACCTCACTGTGGTCTGGGCATACCATCAGGCCCAAGGGGTTCCTTCAGGGGCTTCCCGTACCAGAGGCCACTGTGTCTCGTCCCTCCGTCCCCCCCCGATGGTTCTGAGGGGACTACTCCAGCGCCAACACAGGCCCACACACCTAGTGTGGTGGACCTTGGGCAATAAGTTCCTCCACGTGAGGACTCCACGCAGGACCCCACGCAGGAGCCCTTAGTCCCAGGGGTATCTTCCTCATCCTCGCCTGATGAGGCAGTGGCAGGGACTACGGTTTAGGGCCCTCCTCCTATGGACCTCCACGCCCACTAGGAGTTGCTCCGCAAGGTGATGCGCAATATGAACCTCCAGGTAGAGGACCTGGTGGTTGACATTTTATCCGTGGAGGCACCGTCCAGGGTGGCCCTCCCAGTCATACGGACTATATAGGCCAATGCCAAGACAATCTGGCAATCGCCAGCCTCTATTCCACCAAGGGGGTGGAAAGGAAGTACTTTGTCCCCTCAAAGGAGTATGAGTACCTCTACCCACACCCCAAACTGTGTTCCCTTGTCATGGCTTCAGTTAATGAGAAGGAACAGCATGGTCAGCAGGCCCCAGTGCCCAAATCAAAGGATGCTAGACGCCTAGGCTTGTTTAGGCGCAAGGTGTACTCGGCCGGAGGGTTGCAGCTTAGGGTGGCCAACTATCAGGCACTCCTGGGCAGATACGATTATAATTCATGGTACTCTATGGAGAAATTAAGAGTTTGTTCCACAGGAGTCCAGAGAGGAATTTGGGGGTTTAGTGGAGGAGGGCAAGAAGGTGGCCAGAACCTCCCTGCAAGCCTCTCTGGACATGGTGGACTCTGTGGCTAGGACCCTAACCTCGGCCATAGCCATGTGCCGCATCTCATGGCTGCAGGTCTCTGGCTTACCACTAGAGTTGCAGCAGACCTTCCAGGACCTACCCTTTGATGGCCAGGGCCTGTTCTCAGACAAAACAGACTCAAGGCTGCAGAGTCTGAAGGACTCGAGAACTATTATGCGCTCTCTGGGAATGCATACCCCAGTAATGCAGAGAAAGCCCTTCAGACCACAGCCTCAGAGGTCCTACCCTCCCCCATCGGCTGGGCCTAAGCAGAACCTTTTGAAGGTGCGCCTGAGGACGGAGCACCAGTCTCCATTCAGGCTCCTTCCCCACCTTTCCAAGATAGTCTCTCCCATTTCCTCCGTGCTTGGTCTCACATAACGTCAGACTTTTGGGCCCTTTGCACGGTGGAAAGGGGTTACTCCCTTCAAGTTGGTTCTCCCCGCACCCTCTACCCCCACCTCTCTTCAGGGCCCCTTTTCACAAGCACCTCCTTCTACAGGAAGTCCGATCACGCCCAGGTTCCAAGGAGAGTCTAAGAGAGTCAAGGGACGGGTTTTTACTCCCACTGCTTCCTAATCCCCAAGGCCAAGGGCGGGCTTCGGCCCATCCTGGACCTACACGGACTCAACAAATTCATGGTAAAGTTGAAGTTCCGCATGGTCTCTCTAGGGACCATTATTCCTTCCTCAGATCCTGGAGACTGGTACGCTGCCCTCGACATGAAGGACGCATACTTCCACATCGTGATCTACCCAGCGCACAGACGCTTCCTTTGCTTTGTGGTCAATCAACAGCACTTTCAATTCACTGTCCGTCCTTTTGCCCTGTCTACGGTCCCCAGGGTGTTTACCAAGTGCATGGCTGTTGCGGTTGCCTCCCTTCGTCGACAACGGATCCCATACCTCGACAAGTGTTCCCATACCTCGACGACTGGCTTATTCGGGATCAGGTGCAGTCTCACGTCCAGCTCACCATGAACATGTTCAATTGACCAGGCCTCCTGCTCAATGTCGCGAAATCTACTCTGGTACCAACCCAGAGGATAGAATTCATAGGAGCAGTCTTAGACTCAGGCCTAGCCTGGGTACTTCTGCCGGAAGCACGCTTCCAATCTCTGGTGA